AGATAGCTGGGAAAGGGGGAAGAGGCCTTTGATAGAAGCAGCTTACTGGAGAAGTGATGGGAAAAGTGCAAGACTGGTTGAAATTACTGGTGATTCACTTTCTTCATCTGTAAACTGGGGACTGTATTAGGCGGGACATTTTTGGTGGCAAGTGGCAGAAGCCCAATTTAATCTGACTTGTAACAAAAGGAATTTGCTAGCTCATAGAACTTCAAGTCCCACGTAGGTCTGCCTCAGGCCTGGGCAAGTCCTGGCATCAGGATCTGATCTCATTCTATCCATTTCTTGACTCTGTTTTCCTCAGTGTTGGGTTTGTTCTTAAGTAGCCCTTCCCTCGTGGTGACAAAATGGCTGCTCATACCCATAAGCTGACATCCCACCTACTCAGTAACCCCAACAGAAGAAGAAAGTCCCAGGATTATGTCTCATTGGACCAGCTTGGGTCATGTACCTGTCCTTACACCAAATAATGATAGCCCGGGGTATAGAATTCTACTTTGAATGGTCAAGCCCCATCACATGAGGGAGCAGGCTAGTTCTTCTGAAGGCACATGAACTGAGAATGTTTTCCCAAGAGGGGTGCACTGTTGTCAAAACGAAGGGATCTTGGGATGCTGAATGCGTAAAGGCAATTACAGCACTACAGAAACAGAAATTGCACCTATCTCGTGTATATAATGTCTAGCACATAGTAGGTACCCAAGATGTGCTGGTCATCACCATCATCATCACCATCATCATCACTTTACCAGCGGTAGGGGTTTAGGTCCCTTAACTCCCGGTCGGGATTGTGGGTCTTCTTGACAGCTCTCATCTCTGTCTCCCTCAGGTGGTCCTGCCGTCCTACGAGGAAGCTCTAGCTCTGCCGTCCAAGGCTCCAGAGGGGGGCCTACTGCCACCCCCATACTCAGAGGTGTGACCCTCACCAGGCCCCAGCCCTAGTGCTGGGAGGGGCGGAGCTGCTTTGTAATCCGCTTCTTTGCTTTGGTGGCCTCTGTGGCCTGGGTGGACCTCCCAGCTGACTTCAGGACAATCTGCTGTGTCTCCCTTGCTGGCCTGCTCCTCCCACAGGGCCTGTGAGATGCTCACAATTGGGTCAACCTTTAGGCTGAATCACCCCTTGGGTCTCTTAAAAGTTCAGTCCCAAAATGCTTGACTCGGCCTACTTGGATCAGCTCCAATGCTTGGTTAGACGATTGGTCATTCTAAATTCGGTGAGTTAAACAGCTGTCAACTTGATCAGTTCCACCAAGAAACCAACGAATCAGTCACTCGCTTGTCAGTTCAGTAAAACAGTTTGGTCCATTGCATTGGTCTGTAAACAGGTCAGTTCACATGGCAATTTAGTTGTCATCAATTAGCCAGACCTTCTCAAATATATATACACACATATATAGAATCAATTTCTTCAGATAGCTTGCTTAAGCAATTATCAATTAGTGAACTATAAGTCATTTAGTATAGTAATGAATAGAATAGTGACAGAATTCAATAAGAAAATCAAGTTAGCCCCCAAATCATTTAATTCAAATTAACCCAACAACTGGCTGCCCACTCTGGTCACTTTAGTAACTCTTGAGTGGCCATGTAATTGTTAATTCAAAGGATAAATGTTGTCACACTGTTAGCTGCAGAAAGTAACAGTAGTTTAAGTATGAAACAGTCCCTCCCAACATACAACCGTCTTGCTGCAGAGTTGCTGTCACCAGTGGTCAAATGCTTGTTGAGCCAGTCCCTTTGTGGTCAGTGTAGTCACATAGTGGTGGATATCATGAAGTCACCTCTATCCCAGTCACCTTTACTAACCAGCTATCAGTCCATTGCATGGGCCAGGCCATCACTGCCATTGATTCAGTCATAGGCAAGTTAGTTCCCCCCAAGAGTTGTGGTCAAGCAGTAATTTAGCCCCGCAGTCGGGCATGTCTGTTTGTTGGGCTAACTCCACAGGTCAGTTTGGTGGAAATAGGCAAACTCCTGTGGGTGCAGACCCTGCTGTTCATGATGGTGGTGGTTACAAAACTGGCTCTAGCACCCCTCTTTAGCCTGCTTCCCTGTAAGCCAGGGATCCTGAAGGAGCTGACCCAGAAGTGGGGATGGGGCCCTGGGGTCTCTGGGGCTTGCAGGGGGCACAGAAGCCTGGGGGAGGCTTCCACTGACACCCCTTTGTGTAATCGCTTTTGTGTGACTGGGAGGAAGTTTCAATAAACCAGTAACAAGCTTCTCTCTGGCTGATATGTTTCCTGAAATATGGCTAGAAGGGCTGGGGACCTACCTTTTGCATCTTCACACACACACACACACACACGAGATGTTCAGTGCAGAAACTCCCAGCTTCTGTCCAGCTCATGAGTGTGACCCAGATCATGGACCCCAGTCCATGATCAGGTGTCCTGATGTCTCCCAAAGTCAGGCGTGGGCTCACCTGGAGAGCACTCATCTAGAACCAGGTCCTGCCCTGGATGCCAGGGATGACTTCCATTACCTACAATCTTGGGGAGAGGGAAAGATCCACAAACAGTTATAATAGCCCATGGCCAAAATCACAATAGGGAAAATCTGAGGGACCTCAGACTTGGCCTGGGGCCAAGGGAAGGCTTCTTGGAGGAGGTGTCATCAAATTGAGTCTGAAGTGGGAGGCAGCAGTGGAAAGGATAGAGGCCTAAGGAGCAGGTTGTGCAAGGGCTCCGGGTGAGGGGGGGATGGGCTGGGAGAAGTGGCTCAGCCATGGCTGTAAGTAGGGGATGGGGTAGAGGAAGCTGGCCAGATGTTGGGCCTGGATCAGGAAGAGCCTTTGCATTTAGCTCACCCTGGCTAACCTCAGTGAAGAGGGGAAGGACATTGTTGCAAGTAATAGAAATCTTAGTGAACCAGGTTTATTATAAAATGAAAGATGGTCATGAATTCTTGGCTCTCGTGGGAATAAATTCAGAGATTTTTGGCTTCAGGCATGGCTGCATCCAGGACTCTAATTCTTTAGTACCTCTCCTTCTCTTTCTCCGTCTCTTAACTTTCCCACCTTAGGGTTGCTGAGTTGCTGAGGTCTTGTAGGGCAGTTTGGGTGGGGATCTGTCCCCAGTTCCAAAAGAGACTTCGTAGAGCCTTGAATGTCATACCAATGAGCATGCACTCACTAATCCTGGGACAGGTGTCTTTGAAGAATTTTGGGCAAGGGAGATCCAGGGTTAGGTCTGTCTGGGTTTTAGGAAGGAAGAGACCGAATTCAGGGACCCATAAGAAAGCTGTTGAAGCCATCCTGTGGGGAAGCAGGGAAGGAGATGGGTTTGAGAGGTGCCATCTAACTTCTGGTGCTATCAGCTTTGCTTGGGGATGGCAGATTTCTTCATGGACTTTATCTGCTCTTTATTAGACCTTCAAGCAATTGATAAAGTATGACTCTGACAGCGATAGAGAGTGAGCTCCCATTTACACACGAGGGAATTGTGGCCCAGAGACATCAAATTACTTTTCTGAGGCCACACACAGCAGTTAGAGATTAGACTGAAGACCTCCCCCTCCTCCACTCCAAGTGGAGGCCGTTGAGAGGGGCTGGGCCCCAGACTGTGAGAGCTGTTGCCCCTGAGAAGTCCCCATTGAACGTGGATTGGGAACAGAGGTCATGGAAGGAGGGAGATTGGCCTCGTCCCCAGCCTTGCATCCTACCAAAAGGGGACCAAAGGGTGCATGGCTGTGTTGCAAAGGCTGAGAGACCCTGAACTTGCTGGTGGGACTACCCTGTCCGTGCCCCTTGCCCCACCCCCAACCCCTGGCCCAGAGCCCAGAGACAGGCTGAGATGTGTAGTGGGATTGTGCCCTGTGGCCAGGCAGCTGGAAGGGGCCTGGCCTGAGGAACAGGAAATAGCTGGGTTTGGGGATGTCCGTGCGGCCGGCCAAGCCAAGCGAGCCCACGATTGCTTGGCCAGCCCTCGCCAGGGCCCTATCAATGCCTCATTTGAGGCTCATACAGGGGTCCTTTGACAGGCTGGGACAGTTTGGGCCCACTGAGAAGGTCTGTTTGAGTTAGATGTCCGGAAAGGAGCTGGCCCCAGGAAAGAGGGGCTGCTCTGGCACTGGCAGGTGAGGGTGGGCTGGCCTGGCTGGCCCTTAGAGGGACAAGGGAGGTGCTGAAATTAAACCCAGGTTGCCGAGTGGGAAACCTCAAGTTTCTCAGGAGCTGTAATGGTAGCAGGAAGGGTCCCTGTACCTAAGTGGGCCCTTCAGAGTGTCAGCTCCATGAATCTCCGGACAGGCTCACCCGGCAGGTGCCATCATTCCTGAGGTTGAGGCAGGGAAGGGCATCTGCCCAAAGCCACGCATCAGTCAAAGGCAGAGCTGGACTTGGGCTCCAGTCAAGCCTGGCTGGACCTGAGCTTGTCCGCTTCGTCCTTTTTGGCCTATTTCGTCCTTCCTCTAGGGTCTCCTCACCTTTCAGGCCCCCATTTCACTCCCATTCCAGGCTCTGAGCCCTTGGGGGACATTAGGGGCAGTGGGAAGCTTTGGGTGTTGCAGGCCCCTGGAGCCGGTCACAGAGGGTAGGATCTTGGACACGGGGAGGGGGGACTTGGGGTCTGGTGCTGCCATCCCTACTAGGCACAGCCTCCTGCCTGGGCTTGTAACACCCCCACCCCCACCCACTGATGGTGAGATCTTTCCTTTCAAGGCTACCCCTCCTTCTGGGAGAGCCGCATCAGTTAGTAAGCACGTCATTCTACTGAGCCAAGGAGTTTTACGAAGTGGGTGCTCGCTTTCTGGGCTTAACTCCTGGCTTTGAGAGCTCCAAAGGATATATCTACCCCCTGTGCCCCATGGTGCATGGGAGTCTGGGAGAAGTGAGCATTTTGCAAGAGAATTTGGAACAACCTCCCAGCAAGGCCTTCCACAAACCTTGGCCAGCACTTGGCAAACGCTTGGGTACAGACAGCTGGTATCAGGCCCACGGGGCTGGGGCCGAGGGTGTCTTTGGGGAGCAGGGAAGAGGCGAGCCTGGGAGCAGATCCTGTGGGGTGTTAACGGCCAGGCTGGGGAGTTTGGATATGACCCTCAAAGGACGTGACCAAGGGAGGGCATGATTTTACAATCTAGGCATAATCACCATTGTATCCCTGTCACTGGGGACAGGCTGGCTCAGTAAAGCCATCTAGGTAGTGAGCAAGAGATTGCTCACAAGAGACCCAGGGCTGCCTTGTGATGGAGGACTGGGGTGCACTGCGGGTGCAGGGACCCAGACAGAGGGCTGATGGCAGAAGTGGTCCAGGAGAGACATGATGGGGGCATGAAGTCAGCAGTGCCTGGGGGTTGGGGAGGTTCAGGAGGCATTTAGAAAGCTGGACCTGAGAGGCTTGGACACAGAGGTGAGAGAGAGGAGGGTCCAGGGAGGTGCCTGGATTTGGGGAGTGTTTGGGATGGTAGTGCCTGGCTCTGAGCTGAGGACACAGTACAGGGGATGAAGGAGGACGCACTGAGTTCTGAAGGTGTCGCATTGGAGCTACCTTGGGTGACATGTGATCGGGTGCTCAGGAGACAGCTGTGTCTCATCTCTAGTTCTGGTGTTCAGGACAGTGAGGAGGCAGAGAGGTTGAGACATGAATGTCACCTGTGGACATGTGGGTGGATGTCAGGTGGGTGTCACCTAGGCTCACAGAGGTGTTAACGTCATCAGTGGGACATGATACTGAGCCGAGGCCACCCTGGATGTGCCCTTGGATGAAAGTACACACCTGCCGCCCCGGCCAGACTCTGGCTGTCACTGCCTAACCACTCATAGGGCCTGAGACCAAGAGGGCACATGCGAGGTGTCACAAACCACATGTGACACCTCAGGCCACAGAGGCTGTGGCCCAAATGGGGTGTGGGCTGGAAGAAAGACTGAGCTATACTGCAGCATCCTAGAGCGGTGGGGCTGAGAATGGCCACCATGCAGACGAGGACACCACACCCGTGACCGTGGGGAAGCTGCCCCACTTCTTTTGTCTCTGCTTGACTTTTGGGGAAACCAGAGAGTCACATCTAATCAGGTGCCCTGGCAATGTCTCCGATTTGCCATGAAATTAAGTGTCAGAAAAGAAGCTCCCAGATTAAAGAAAGTGAGGGGAGCCCAGGTGGCAGCGAGCCGCTGCTGTGGGTGTCTCTGCAGCCACAGGCCCTGCTCACTGCCCGCCTGATAGGCTCTCTGGGCTTGGTGCTCACATGTCAGTCTCTGCCCTGGGCCCCCAGGAGGAAGCCTTCTATTAGCCGCCAAGAGTGTTCCGGTGGGCTGTGGGTACAACAGAAAGCGGCCAGCACCAGGAATAAATACAGGCCACCTGGGAAATAGTTTTGCTGCCACCTCCGTGGTCCAGATGGTCACTTGCCTGAGTGTCCTCCACTCCATGTGCTGGGGGGACGTTCCAGGCAGGGGAACAGGTGGGCAAAGGCTGGGGACTTGACGGTGTGGCAGAGGGGCCCGCGGTCCGAGAACTCTTCAATCTCACCTCTGATAACTCAGGCCCTGGCAATCAGCCCTGACCTGGGCAGCGCCAAGTCGCTGAAGTTGTAAATGTGGGTGGAGCCGGCTTCCTCTCACAGGGCTTTGGGAAAAGCCGAGGTCCTCTACAGCCCCTCAGGCAGGGCAGGGGCGATGGGAAAGCCATTTGTGTGACTTTCCAGCTCCTCTACCCTGAGACACTGCTTGGGCATCCCGGGGAGAATGTGACCAGGAACAATGTAGACTTTTCTGAGGAGGACGTCCTTTGCCATAGGTGGGATAACTTTGACATGACAACTTGCCTCAGTTGCCCACAGTCACCTGCTGAGTCAAAACAGAGCCAGACCTTGCTCTCAGACTGCCAAGTCCAGGCCCCCCCCACTTCCCTGCATCACGGCAGGGCCTGGAGGGTGTGCTTTCCAAATGCCATAGGAGGAGGGCTGTGAGAGCTATCTGTGGGCTGCTCTTATGGTTTTTTCGTTAGCACCTAGGGCTTCCCAAATGGACCGTACAGAAACAACTTTCCCCAATCCAAAAAATGCTGTATTTCCTTGTCAATACCCCGCCTTTCCTCCCTTGTTTTATACCCTAATGTATCACCTGAGCTAGAAAGAATTCCAAGACGGCCCTCATGAACTATGCCTTTCTAAAGTTCTTTCCCCACCACCTGATGGGACAATCACTTGGGTGATTAGGTTATATTACCTTTATGTGGCACCACTGATTTAAGAAAAGGAGATTCTTCTGGGTTAGTCTGACTG